TTTTCACAAATATATGTATTTTTAAAATATATAATTTATATATATAAATCAAAAATATAAAATTTTTGAAATATATAATTATTACATATATTTATACATGAAAATATACAAATACAATTATTGTGACTTATTGTGACTAATTAATAATTATTAATTATTGGGGACCTATTATTTTGACCTCTTAGTAAATCACCTCTTCTACAGTAATAAAGCTGCTATGTTTATGAGATCCTCTAGTGAAAGTTGTGAATTGTGGGACTTAACAAATATCAGTAGTCACCATCTGGAGAAGAGAAACTTCACTAAAAATGAGGCTAATAAACAAAGGGGAATACATATGGAAAAGAGGTAGGGGATGATATTTGAGCCTGTATTTTCTATATCTGGGTGTTTTATTTATAGCCAGTTATATTTTCATATTTGAAAGTTTTGTGGGGTTTTTTGTGGTTTTTTTTGTTTGTTTGTTTTTTTGAGACAGAGTCTCACTCTGTTGCCCAGGCTAGAATGAGTGCCGTGGCGTCAGCCTAGCTCACAACAACCTCAAGCAATCCTCCTGCCTCAGCCTCCCAAGTAGCTGGGACTACAGGCATGCGCCACCATGCCCAGCTAATTTTTTCTACATATATTAGTTGGCCAATTAATTTCTTTCTATTGATAGTACAGATGGGGTCTCACTCTTGCTCAGGCTGGTTTTGAACTCCTGACCTCGAGCAATCCGCCCACCTCGGCCTCCCAGAGTGCTAGGATTACAGGCGTGAGCCACCGCGCCCGGCCTTGAAAGTTTTAATTGTCAAGTTTCCTCAATATGTAAGATATTTTAATGTTTCTTGATAGTTAACAAATATCATAGCAACCGCCAGAAATTACCCTGTAAGGACAAGCTAAGTCCCCAGTTCCACCCCGCTTCCCTGAATAAAAAATAAATATTTTGCCCACCATTTAGCATACCATAAGATGTAGACATAAAAGTAGAAATGTGTTAAAAATCCAGGGTCTTCTCCACTCACAGGGATATACCCATTCCCACTCCAGAGCATCTGTGTTTTAATAATCTTGCTGTTTGGCTTGCTTATTCCTGTTTGGCTTTCTCATTCATGCCTTTGACTTCATACCAGTAACCATTCTTCCATACTGTGAACCAAGAACCAGGGACCATGATGTGAACATGAACCTGACAATCTTCTTAACCCACAGCACACGTGGAAGCAGAGATTCTTTTAACCTCTATGTATGTCAATTCCATATGATTATTAATCTGCTTGTTAGAGTAGGAGAGTAAGGGCTGAGAATGACACAGGTGCTTGAAGATTAGGTGCAGGTGTTAAAATAAACAAAAGGGGCAGATAACCTTAGGCAAGAACTGGCTTTGACTGGCTTGTCAGCAATCTCTGCCACTTTACATGAACCTTGGCTAATTATAATAGCAATTACGCTTTTTGGTTTTAAAATTTCTCTACCCTTGAAATCACCATGATAATTCCAAGACAGCCATATAAAGTATGAAAATGGAAGGGAACACAATTCTAGGTTCTGCATACATTTTTAGTAAAAGCCAACATGTTGGCCTTGAATATCTTCTCCTCAATTAGTAAGACTACAAAAGATTGAAGACCACTTCTTCTCAGTGCAACTGCTCTTTTTGATCTTACCTGCTCTCTTTCCCCGAGAGTGTACTTTCACTTTCAATAAAACTGTTGCTTGCTTCTTTCCTGTGTTATGTCCTGAAATTCTTTTCCACAATGAACACCAAGAACTTGGGAAAACCTCCACTCAGAGGCTGGTAACATACTCTAGTCAGTGCTTTACGTTCCTGTCCCCACTGTGGTTACAACCCTGTTATGACTAACTACCTGAATACTGACCCAGTTGATGAGTGACCAGTTAATCTGCCTAGTATTCATAAGCCTTTATTCCTGGGGGACTGGATTTTATCTCTTTCCCTGGCTACTGACTGGGCCTCTTCTTCAAGGACGATGTTGATATTTACCAGAAATGAGAGAGTGAATCTAAAATTTTCTTTCACTGGAAATATCACTCCTTGCACTAGAGCATCCTTATATTATCTTGAAAACAATTTGTGTAAATGTTTACATATATTTATTGAGGACATTGACATGTTTACAAGCATTATTATATAGACATAATTAATTATATAACAATTGGCTGTGTATTTAATCAGCACTGCTGTCAACCTGTAAATAAGTGACTCTGATGAATGACTGATCAGGAGCAGGTTAGGTCAGGTTAATACAATCAAAATGGTAAAAGCACTTGTATAAACAGACCTAATCTCAATGCAAAGCAGTACATGTTTATTTATATTCAATTTCTACTTTTACAGAATATAAATTCCTAAATATTTACTATGTGGAGAGAGCTAATTCCATATCTACAAATGTATAGGTAATTTTACACCAATAAAAACATGAATAGTTTTGTAAAGTTTGTATGCTCCTTAGAAGCAACACTCTTCATGGAAATAAAATACCTTTTTCCATCATTTCTACTCAAGCTTCAAGTTCTCTGGGAATTGATTCCAATTTATCTATCTCTATATCAATAATGTCATGCATAGATCCTGGCATAGAGTTGGCAACCCATGAATTCATATTTTTCCAGTTTGTTCTGGGCTGTAATACAAATATATTTCTCATTACAGGCATTTTTTTAAGTGTGAGAAACATGAGAAGAATACATTGAGCTTAAACATTGAATTACTAAATTACTCTACCTTTTGAAAGAAATCAAAATATTTTACTCCGAAATATATTTCTTTGACATATATTGAGATGGTTGTTTAAGAAACCAGCAAACAGAAGAAATCTTGCGAAACTGACTTTGGGGACAGATTTACATTTAGAGAATTCGGATCGATTCAGCCAGGACTTTCCTTGCCTAGCTCTATAAAATAATAACAGAGTCTGAAAGAAACATTTACCATCTATGCTCTCTGAGGGCTGCTATCTGTGAGGTTTTATCTACATACCAAGACCATCTCTGCTAGCCAAACCTCTTCTCTCCCTTCCATAATCTGTCTTGTCACTATAACCTGATTTAGTGCTGTAACATATTTTTGGACATGCTCTGAGCCTCCATTCTTTCTGTAACCTCAAGATCGTATATAAGCTTCTGCATCCCATTGGGGGGTGGGGTAATCACTCTATGATTCTCCTTCATGTGTATGTTAATAAATTATATGCCTTTACTCCAATTAATCTGCTTTTTTGTGAGTTTATTTTTCAGTGAACCTTCAGAAGGGGAAGGAGAAGTTTTTCTTTGGCCTCTATACCTGCCATCACTTGTCTAGCATATATTGAAAATGCTTGGAATTTTATTCATGCATTTTTTGGTGACAAAAAAGTTTTCTAAATTCCAGACTACTTACAATAATTAAAATTTTACTTAATATTTACAAAGTACATTTTAGAAAAGGAAAATAACAGATTTAATATTTTTATATTCTATGAAGGGCATGCTATTTTCATTTTTCTTAACATGAAGCAGAATTTCAAACTGATAAGCCCCAGATAAAATTATATAGCACACAACATTTACCTAGGAAATTATGAAATATGAAAATAAATAATATACATTAAGCTCATGAATTGAATTAAATGAGAAAATGGTTGTATTAATATAAACTTAAATTGAATACCTAAAGTTAAAATTATTGAAATTGTTCTGTATTTGATCCATTTTTAAGGAAATCAAACTTTCTTACTTTACTGTATGTGAAGGGCTCCTAAGAAGTAGCTATATCTAATATAGTGTATAAAATAGAGACATAAGAATTTTGGGTCTAGTTAGTTCTTGGGGGTGGGGGTTGGACAAGTATGCTAAAACTAAGATGAATTATTTTACCTCCTGCCAGAAAACATTGGCATGACCTTTAAACTAATTACTTCATTCCAATCAATAGTTGCATATTCTAATGTGTAGTTCTGTGCATAATTTCATGATCAAAATTATTATGAAGTGGGTGTATCTTCCCATCTAACTACTCGTTCATTGTTTAGAAATGAAGGATTAAAAAATTTTATAAGATGACAGAGTTATAACGTGAAAGAATCCTGGGTCCCTGAATTACAGCAGGTAAAACTAAAAGCTGAATACGTGCATAGGCTGTTATGTGACAATTCCTATGCTGTGAGATGTCTTTTATCTATTCAGTAACCAGTGTTTTCTCCTACTATAGTTTCCTTTCACCTACATAAATGGCACCACCATGGTCCATTGTTTTAAACGAAACCTGTTAATCAACACTTTTCTATCTCTTACATACCATAACCAATCCAATTATTGTCTATTCTAATTCCAAATATCTTCCTTAAATCTGTCCACTTCCCTTTTCTTCGCCATTGAATCTAAAATATTATCATCTCTAGCCTAGATTTTCTCTATTAATTTTTGATGTTTAGTTCTGCTTCTTTGTACCCTACATACTCACACTATTCAAACAGCCAGAGGGATATTCCTTTTCTTAAAATATTAAAATTTGGGCATAAATTTCCTTTTTAAAACCCTTCATTGAATATTGTGATTCTTGCTTTGAATGAAGAAAACTGGAAAGAGCAGCACTCTTATCCTTTCAACAAAAACACAAATCCAGACACTTTGTGAAATCGTACTTATTTGAAACAATCAGAAAGCTGAGTTTACACGGCAAACAACTAAGCTGAAATTTAAGGGTAGACACAAATACAAGGAGAATCAAGATGCAAGTACTTCCACACCTGGGAGTATGTGGGACACCATAAAAGTCAGTAAAAATAATTCAGGTAAATGTTTTGATAAATTTAGCTAAAGTCCAAGTGTAGGCTAGCATAAGAGCATAGAAGCCCTGGAAACTGCAGAAACAAGGGAGATTCTCAGCCACTTGCAGAATCACAAGAAAGATTTAGGGAAAGCTGAAAGATGAGAGAATCCCTCGCTCATGATACAGGGCCATGGAAGGGGTAGAAAGCAGTAAAGGCACAAATCCTTACTATGATAGTTCACTCCTCTCTCCCTTGTGGGAAGCCACTGGGAAGGGGCAGCATTCCATGTCACCTGCAGGCCAGAGGTGAAGACCCATCACATCTGAGAAAATAAAATAGAAAACTATTACCTTCTACCCATGGTGGAAGAGCAGGAAGACATCATGGGGGCAAACCATTAGAAGAATCCAACACTGGGCAAGGGCAAGATTATTGAGAAAGCTTGGCCTCAATATCCACTGAAGATGAAGTAAAATAACAGAGAACATCACCCTGATTCCCAACTCACCAGCCCGGTGAGGGCTGAGTACCAAGTAACAACACTCACAGTTGGGAGATGGGAAATACCATGGGGAAAAAACTCTCTGAGACACAGGAACAAAAAGAACATTGAAAGCAAAGGACACAGCAGACATTGAGGAAAAACAAATCTGGAAACCAAGACCCACTCTAAGCACGGGTAATACTAGAGAAATTTGAGGCTTATAACACACAGAGTGTAAATGTAGCAACAAAAAGTCCTAAGGCAATTCAACTCCTGGCTAGACTGACTCCACCCAGACACAAAAGCCTAAGAAAAGTAAATATATGCCATTCCCAGGCATAAATGCCACTTACCTGCTATTTTACACAAGGTATTGGCTTCCATTAAAAAATAATGAGACTCACAAAAAAGCAAGGGAAAAATCCAACATAATCAAAAAACAAAACAGTCAATAGGCAACGCACACACACACACACACACACACACACCCCTATACATATAATATCCAAACTACCCCAAACCAAAGATAAAGAGAAAACCACGAAGGTGCCAAGGAACAAAGTATACACATGTGAACAAAAATAATGAAAGTATACACATGTGAACAGTATACACATGTGAACAAAAATAATCAATATGGCAGAATTCTTGTGAGAACTTATTCAAGCCAGAAAAAAATAGTGATATTTTTGAAACAGTTTAATATTATTTGATAAAGATACCATTAATTAAAGATATATATTGTAAACTAATATATGGTTGTAATATAATTGGATCAATATCCAAAAATCTATTACTGCAATTCAGCAAATCAAAAGACAAAAGAAGAAAAACTTATCTCAATAGATGTAGAGAAAATGTATTTAACAAAATGTGGTATTCATTCATGCTAAATAATTTCAGCAAACTCAAATATAATAAAGTTCATTAATATGATAAAAGAAATATTAAAAAATGTGCTTCAAACATCTAATATCAATTTTTACCTAAAACTCAGAAACAAGGTTATGATTTATTCTTTTACTAGTCCTAGTCAATATTTCCCTGGATTTCTAGCAAGTTAAGTAAGATAAGAAAAAAATAAATAAAATACAAACAGTTCAGAAGAAAGAAAAGAAGGAAAATTTTTTACAGTTAATTTTTAAAATAATGTCTAGAAAAGCTACTAGAACTAATAGTGTAGCAAGTCACAAAATACAAAGCCAATATACAAAACTCAATCCCATGTCTGCAGAGAAATAATGAACAGTTGGTAATTAAGATTATAAACAAAAAATAGCATATGCAATAGTATCCAAAAAAGAATTAAGTATAAATCTAATAAAATATAAATTATACATCCTTAAAACTATAAAACACAGATGGAAGGAATCAAAGAGCAGCTAAATAAATGGAGAGCCACACTGTTTCCTTGGATTATTAATATGTCAATTATCCCCAATCGGATGCATTAATTCAATGCAATTCCAATCAAAACCCCAGCACAATCTTTTGTAGAGTTTTTAAGCTAATTCCAAGTTTTATCGTCCAAGAATTTTAACTGGGAAAACAATTTTGACAAAGAAACAAATTGGAAAACGTCACCACCAAAACCAAACAAAGCAACAGTGATCAACAGAGTGTGATGTTGGAGGAAAAGTAGATACATGCAATAATGAAACACAATAAAGGGCTAGGAATAATCCAACACATATAGAAAAGATTACAGACAGAGGCACAAAGCCAATTCAATAGATTAAGGAAAAATTGGGCATTCATACTCAAATTTAAAACACAATAATCCTCAATTAATACCTTGTACCACATATGAAAATTAATTCAAAATATATCCTAGATAATTGTTTAGGTCTTTAGCATAAATATCACTTCCTTAGGGAGAAATTCTTTTATACCTAGAATTTAAAGTAGGCATCCCTGCTATATTTTGTTTGTTTTAGTATATTCTTTACCTAACTTTGTTGTATGTACTTTTTTTTGTTAGGCCATGTGTTAGTACCTATTTCCCTCATTATAATTAAATTTCTAATTAAGCCTTCATTTTTGGCTCTCAGGAACTTTTATGAAACAGCTTCTTTAATAGTTGCTTCTTTCCCCACAAGCCTCAGTAAGCAAGCCCTTAGGCTCAGCCCGGGGTGGGGTTGGGGGACATGCACAGTCTGATCTCCAAGCCCTGTATTTGCCCCCAGGGCTCAAGCTCTGAAGCAAAAACTATAGAGGTAAAAATCTGATATATTCCACAATAACAGGGGAATAACTCTCACATACATAAGGAATCATATGGATTTCTAGTAAGAAAAAATTACAATGAAGTATGAACGATTGACAGTTGAGGATATGTGTGCCTAAATATCAGACATACGTTATGCTAGCAAACACGATTGCCTATTTAATTCCACTCACCTCCTGAAGTTCATCAAATCACAATACCATGAGATAGAGAAATATCTTAAAAACAGATCATTTTGTACAAGAAATAAGTAACAATTGTCAGAAAAAAAATTGTAGAAAGATACACATTTTTATCTACTCAGTATAAAAACAAAAATCAGAGTTTATAAGTAAAATGTATACATATATATTTTGTTTTATGTCTTTCTCTACCACACATATTTATTTATTTTTATAACAGCTTTATAGTGATATAAATCATATGTCATGTAATTCATTCATGTGCAGAGGACAATTCGATCATTTTAGAATAGTCACAGACTTGTGCAACTATGAGACACTAAATTTCAGAACGTTTTTGTCACCCTGAAAATAAACCTATACACCCAGTAAGTACACCTATACAACCAGTAAATCCCCTCAGTTCTAGGTAACCACCAACCTACTTTCTGTCTTTATGTACTAGCCTAGTCTAGATACTTCATATAAATATAATCATACAATATGTGGTCCTCTGCAACTGAGTTTTTTACATATGATAATATTTTTTAAGGTTCATCCATTTTGTAGCATGGAACAGTACCTAACTGGCTTTTACTGCTGAATAATATTCCATTATATGGATATATCCTCTTTTGTTTTTCCATTTATTAGTTGTTGGACATTTAGGTTGTTTCCGATTTTTGGCCATCTGAATAATGTTGCTATGAACATTCACGTACAAGTTTTGGGTGAATTATGCTTTCATTTCTCTTGATTATATCTGTAGGAATTGAATTGCTATGTCATATAATAACTAAATGTTTATCATTTTGAGGAACTGCCACAGTGTTTACTAAAACAGCTGCACCATCTCACATTCATACCAGTAGTGTATGAGGATTCCAAGTTGTAAATATCCTTGTAAACACTTGTTATTATCTGCCTTTTTGATTATAGTCATTTAATCAGGGTGTAAAGTAGCATGTCATTGTGGTTTTGATTTGCATTTCCCAGATGGCTAATGATGATAACATTTTTGCCTGTGATTAGAGGCCTTTATACAGTCTTCTTTTGGAGAAATGTGTATTCACTCTTTGTTCATTTTTAATTGTATCATCTTTTTATAGTTGAGTTGTAATATTTCCTTATATATCCTAGGTACAAAGTCTTTATCAAATATATGATTTGCAAATATTTTTTTCCCATTTTGTTGGTTGTCTTTTCACTTTCTTAATGGTGTCCTCTTAAAGACATTTTTATTTAAGTATTTTTTAATTTGTTTATTTATCAGTTTTTTGTTGTTGTTGCTTGTGCTTTTGATATCAAACCTAAGGAATCATGACTAATCCATAGTCACAAAGAAATTCTTTAATTTTGTGTATTCTGTGAAGGAGTGTCCAACACTTTTGGCATAGGACATCCAGTGGTCCCAGCACCATTTCTTGGAAAGATTATTCTTTCCCCATTGAAATATCTTGGAACCCCTGCTTAAAATCAATCACTCATAATGATATGGCTTATTTATGGACTCTCAATTCTATTCCACTGACCTATATGTCCAGCCTTATGCAAACACCATGCTGTTCTGATTGCTGTGAATTTTCACAAAGTTTTGAAATCAGGAAATACTCCAACTTTGCTCTTATTTTTAAAGATTTTTACTATTCTGAGTCTCTTGTATTTGTATATAGATTTTAAGAATTTTTTTCAATTTCCACAAAGAATCCAGCTGGGATTTTGATAAATATTGTGTTGAATCTCTGGACCTATGTGAGGAGTATTACCATCTTCACATTAATGCTTTAAATATGTGAATAATGGCTGTCTTTCCATTTATTTACTTTTTTAGACAAATTTCTTTGAACAAATTTCTGTAGCAGAGTTTCTGACTTTTTGCTAAATTTATTCCTAAATAATTGATTCCATTTGATGTTATTTTAAATAAAATCGATTTCTTCATTTCTTTATTGGATTGTTCATTTCTAGTGTATGAAAAAACAACTGATTTTTGTATATTGATCTTGTATCCTTTGACACTGCTCAACGTGTTTATTAGTTCTGATAGTTTTTTTGCTGGATTGTTAGGATTTTCTGTATATAAGTTTATGTCATATGGATGTCATCTTTCAAATCAGAGTGCTTTTAATTTCATTTTCTTGTCTAATTTCCCTGACCAGGATCTCTAGTAAAATGTTAAATAGAAGTGGCTTGAACAAATATTTTTTTCCTGACCTTAGGAAGAAAGTATTTAGTCTTTCATCATTAAGTATGATGTCATCTGTAGTTTTTTTTAAAATACCAAATTATTTTTCTGCATCTCTTGAGCTGATTATGATTTTTTTTGTCTTTTATTATATTAATATAGTATAATGAGTTGAATGGTGGCCCCAGCAAAATATATGCCCATGTCCTAACCCTCAGAACCTGTGAATGTAAAAAGGTTCTTTGCCAATGTAATCAAGTTGAGGATCTTGACATGAGTTCCACATGAGTAATCCAGGAAAATCCAACGGCAATTGTTCTTATAAGAGATAACAAAGATGTACATGGAAGAGGAGAAATCTAATGTGAAGATGGAGGCAGAGCTTGTAGTAGTTATGCAGCTACAAGCCAAGGAACTCTTGGAGCCACCAGAAGGTAGAAGAGGTAAGGAATGATTCTCACCTATAAACTTTGCAGGAAGCACAGCTCTGCTGACACCTTGAATTCAGATTTCAGATCTCCAGAACTGTGAGACAACAAATTTATATTGTTTTAAGCCACCATGATTGTGGTAATTTGTTATAACAGTTCTTAAAATATCATATATACATAATATATACATATATACACACATATATATATACACATACATACACATACATAACATATGTTGTATATAAGTTGGTATCAAACCTAAATAAAATATATAATGCATTACATAAGTTGATTTTCAGATGTTAAACTTACCTTGTATTCTTTGGATAAATTCCATTTGGCCATGATGTAAAATCCTCTGTATGTATTATTGTTCAGAGCCCTAGTATTTTGTTGAGGATTCTTGAGTCTATATTTGTAAACGATATTGTCTATACTTTTCTTGAGTTGTCTTTGTCTGGTTTTGGCATCAGGGTTATATAGGCCTCATAGAATAAGTTGAGAAATAATCACTTCTGTTGTTTGAAAGAGTTTGAGAAAAATTAGTGTGAATTCTTCTTTACTGTGAATTCTTCTTGACAGAATTCATCAATGAAATCATCTACGCCTTTAATTTTCTCTGTTGATATTTTTGTCCCAGTAGTTTGTTTCTTTCTAGGAATTTTTCATTTCATCTAAGTTATCTAACATGTTGGCATTCAATTGTACATAGCAGTCCCTCATATTACTTTTTATTTCTGCAAGATCAGTAGTAATGTCCCCCCTTTATTCCTGATTTTAATAATTTGTGTCTTTTCTTTGGGTCAGTCTAACTTAAAATTTGTCAATTTTATTAATATTTTAAAATAACCAATTTTTGGTTTATTTGACTTTCTCAATTGGTTTTCTCCTCTAGTTCATTAATTCACATTCAGATCTTTATTATTTCCTTTCTTCTACTTGCTCTGGATTTAGTTTTTTCTTCTTTGTCAGTGCCTTAAGGTGGGCTATTGATTTGAAAACTTTCTTCTTAGTTTATATAGACATTCATAGCTATAAATTTCCCTCTAAGCACTGCTTTATCTGTATTCCGTAAGTTTTGATACTCTATATCTTTTAATTCATCTCATGTTATTTTCTAAATTTCCTTGTGATTTCTTCTTGACCTTGGTTATTTAGAAGTTTATTGTCTAATTTCTATATATTTGGGATTTTCCAAAGTTCTTTTTGTTATTAATTTCTAATTTTACTTCATTGTGAACAGAGAATATACTTCATATAATTTCATTCCTTTAAAATTTATTGAGGCTTGTTTTATTCCTAACATGTCAACTGTCTTGGAGAATGTTCCATGTGCATTTGATAAGAATATATATCCTGTTGTTGCTGGGTAGAGTGTTATATATTTGCAGGTACTTAATTTTAATGAAAATTTAGAATGGAAAGCTCTAGAACTGCTATTTTTTATTCTGACAAATATTTCTTTCAATTTTAATGTTTCTTATATTCAGGGACTGTGTTTTATTCTTTGCATTGCTAGCTATCATGGCATTATTTTCTTTTCATGCCTTTGAATTGCTCAGATTCAGTGCCTCCACTGCAAGATCAAGGACAAAATGTATGCTTTGAAATTCAAATAAATTTAATGTATGTAATGGCTATATTGGTATTAGGTTAAACATTCATGGTGAATGGTTCTTATGGTCCAGCCTCAAACTCCTTTATCTGCATTTCTATAGTACCAATTGAATAAGTACCTCTTATTCAATATATTGTGACAGATAATTGCAGATATGTCACATTAATTTGCTCTTTAACAAAATACAATAGTTCATGTACTTTCAATAAACTTCTAACGTTAATAATAAGCATATAAAAGCCATTTTCTTATCATTATTAAAAGTGTGACATATAGAAGTGAGTATCCATTATTTCTGTTCATTACAGTATATAGCTTGGGGCCCCTTCTTTCTAAAATGAAAACATTTTAGGAAATGTAAAATTAAATAAACCACTAGATCCAGCAGAAAGCAAAATAGTAATGATAAAAAATATAGTAAAATAGATTGGCAAGTCCCTATAAAATTGCTTTATGAACAGAACTTCACAAATTAAAAGTCAAAGTCTTAAAATAAAACATCTGCAACAGTTGATTTGTTAAAGGACATTAGTTCAAAGTTTTATGGTTATTTATATCTTCTACAAAAAAAAATTATACCTTTTGGTACCAAAAGTCAGTTGCCAAAATATGCCATGGATATATTTCCTTTTGAAAAGTGAATTCCATTATTTAAAACAGCATTCACTTCTTCATTCTTCTTATAAGCAAGAGAAATGTTCTCAGTACAAAGGCATTTCCTGAAAATATTGAAAATAACTTCTATCTGCATAAGAATATCTTTGTTGAATACTAAAATCTTAGATAATTAGATTACTATGGGCAGTAAATAAAAATACATTAATTTTCACAATACTCCCGAAAGACCCAGAAAAAATTTTAGAATTTTAGGTTTTTAAATAGATAAGATATTCTTGCTTCTAAATCATTAAAGTTTAACTTTATAATGTGAAGTTCATTTTTCAATGTAAATATCTGTGGTGGGCAGGTAAATGCCCCTAAACAATGTCCATGACCTATTCCCAGGATCCTGGAAATATGTCACCTTATATGGCAAAAGAGACTTGCAGATATGATTAAGGCTAAAGACCTTGCAATGGGAAAATTATCTTGGATTATCTCAGTGGACCCAGTCTAATAATAGGATTCTTGAAAGAAGTAGAGGAAGGTAGAAAAGTTGGTCAGAGAGGTAAGACATTAGAATCAGAGCCATGAGCCAGGAAATGTGACAGTCTCTAAAAGCTGGGAATAGCCCTTAATTGGCAATCCACAAGAAAACGCAAGAAAACAGAGATCTCAGCCCTACAATTGCAAGGAACTGAATTCTGCCAAACTTGAATGAGCAGAGAAACAGATTTTCCCTTGGAATCTCCAGAAATGAACACCGACTTCCAACACCTTGATTTTAGCCTGGGAAGACCCACATTATGCTTCTTACTTACAGAACTGTAAGATAATAAATTTGTCTTGATTTAAGCCACTAATTGTGTCACAATATGTTATGGCAGCAATAGAAAAGTAATGTAATGCCTTGTACATTTATTTGAGTAATGTGAATTATCTACTTAAGTTTTTCATTAACCTTATCCTTGGTATAGATGCCTTTCTATATTCATATGAATATGAAATATCTACATATACATGCCTCTTTACCTTCTTGATCATTCTAAATAATGCTTTAAAATTATTGGATTGCAGGTATTACTTGTTGTAATTATTCTACCAAGTGCTTACCTGTGAAACATAATTGCCTTACCTGTACAAACTTCAGATTAATCCTGATTGCCTAGGTAGAAATCATATAGTAGAGGAAATTTGGTTATAAGAGCAGACATTGATAGAGATGAAAAGCAGACAAGTATCAAGTTAGAGAGGCCCAGTGAAATTATATTATGAAACATTTCTCTTATTTGATGTAGTCTGAGAAAACAAACTAGTAAATCCTAATTAGGATCACACCATAAGAGCAAAGTTTTTAAGCTTGCATATCTAATCCTAACTTTCTATTTGTTTCATTTTTTCTTTATTTAATTTTATTGTCAATTTGAAGGTATATTTATAGTTTCATTAGTCTTCTAGTAAATGATATTAAAATGTTGGCTGGCTCTAAATGGTCTTTAATTCTTCCCCTTTGTCATGGAGTCCTAAACTAACTTGTTATGAGCCCACTTTCATGAAATCAGGATATACTTTCCTTCACAAGAATTAGGTACTTTAAAAATTTTCATCCAAGTAGTATATTGAATGGCTGAAACAAAAATCTATTGCTTAAAATTTCTTTTTTTGGTAGTGCAAGAGTTAAAGATGAAAAATAGTTAAGACTCCTCTATAGTGAGCTAATAAATGAAAGACATAGATATCATGCTGATATTGCTTTTACTTCTCTCTTATTGTTTTGAGAGTCTTTTCATGCATCGTTTCAGTAAAAGGTTTAGAGATTTAGTCTAAGTCAAAATTATGTGGGAATTTTGGATATTTAAAGTGGGAAAGGGAGTGAGGAGTAAAAAGATAATTGGTATTTGAAGTGAAAACAAAAGAATTCAAAGGAACTGTATGACTTTTCAAATACCCCTCTCATTTTCTACATAGCATAAAGGGTTTTAGGAGTGATTTTAGGGACTATCCAGTATCGATGCACCAAGGTACTATGTGTGTAAAGGATGGTCCAAGAACATAAAGGTAATTAGAGATTGAATGAATTCTTGTCACTCCTAGTTAAGCCTTTCTTCTTTCACGTCAAAACACTGGCTTCTTATATAACATAGTGCTTGCTTCTTAAGAACATAAAAGAGGAAGCAAGGAAAATGTTCTACATACATTTTTTAACAGCCACTCACTATGACTGAAAGAAAAGAGAAGTAGAATAATGACAAAGAATACTTCTTTAAAATAATATTTATTCTAATAGGATTTTGACAAATGACCTAATATTTCTTTCTCAATGCTCTCATCTAACTCACTTTGTATAATAAACCCTTACAAAATGCATTATCCACAAGTGGTATAACTGACAATGGTTCATAAAGTTTGTGAATTTAATAGCTGTAAATTGATGCATATGCATACATTTTACTAAAAAAAACTAGTCTAAAAAGTCATATGTTTTAATAGCTATTTAATTGTGGTATACTGCTTACACCCTTATAGAGAAGTCACACTGTTCAACAGCATGTTACTTGCAGCTTCAGCTGAGTACGGACCGCAGGGTTGGCAAATTACCTTGACTTAGTAGTATGTGGTAATACTTACATCTTCTAATATTCCTAAAAGGTGATAACAGAAATAAACTCAAGCTTCTCAGTTTGATGCTAGGAGATATACTTGAATAAAAGTATATAATGGATAAAAGAGGAAATGGGTGGAGGAGACAAAGGCATACTTATTTCTTGAGATCATACATGTTGCCACTGTTGGAGACTCAATTTTGCGTACGAACACCAGGAAGTCAACCTTCCTGCAGGTAAAGGCAAAAACTACAATGCTCGTAGTTCTGTGATTTTTCTAAATTGCTTTATTGTGTGGAGGACCCTGAATTACCACTTAATTCTTTCACAGTTACCTCGGTTGTCATGTCCTTTATAGGTGACAATGATGCTGGTAGGTGCAATATAGACTAAAAGAGAAACTGTTCATAGAGGAAATCTCAGGGTTCTCCAATAACGGTAGAAGAAAAGAAACTACTAGCATTTGTATAACACTTCCGAAGAAATTTCAAACTGCATTAACCATCAAAACATTTTTTTTCCAGAATTTTTATTTTCCAAGTCTTGCAATAACAATTTATAAAAAAAAAACAAAAACAAAAAAACAGGTTTTTTTCTCACTCCACACATAGTACAACGTAGGTGAATTGTGGAGGTGGGAAAGGGTTTCTGCAATTCCATGCAATCGTTGAGGACCCAGGTTCATTCCAGCTAATGATTTGGTCATCTTATAACGTTTATCATACTCCACTGGAAACTCTGTATACATCTACCTATAACCAGAGATATTGTTGGAGGTTATTGACAGACATTTTAGTGGCCAGCCTATTCTGTTCACTTTTCACTGGGTAAAACTGAGTCACTTAGTTGGCCCATAAAAATGCAAAAACACTGGAAATGTAGTCTAGAAGCTTCTTAACAAAGAGAGACCATTGATATTGGTAAGTAACGCTCTACTGCAGTAAATACTATTACATTATTAAAATTAATAATTCGCAAAACTAGCTCACAAATAGATTCCATACCTAGCAGGTACTTTTTGTTCCCTTGGATCTTGCAAATATTTCATTACTAAATATTTTCTAAAGGAGACTGTAATTCTCTGCCATCTAACATTACTAAAAGTCACTATTTGGGCTTTTTAAATCCTGTAAAATCAGCTGCACCATCTTTGCCTAATAACTAAAATACTTTGTGGCATTGTTAATCTACCACCAGTTCAAATACAACAAGTATCCCTGAAGATTTAGTTGAACAGTTACCCTTGATAAGCAGATTTTTAATCAAGGAAATAAGATACGGTTAATTATGCACATGGGCTGTGCTTTAAATGATTCCTATTAACTGTGTGCTTCACCTCCTAGCACACAACCCAGGTGTGACATGGCAGTTCTTCCTTTAACTGATGCTTGCTGAGATTACAGCTAGAGACAGACTTAATCCAATTAGCAAACCCATCCTCATGTGAAAGTGAAAAACTGCTGACAGTTGCAAAGACTGCCATTAGTGATTCTCTATTGCTGTGTTCTCTAATTATATCCTTCCACTAGCTTTGAGGTGTCACATAAGGCCAACAAATAGACAATGACATGTATTTAAATATAATATAAAATGCTGCTTTCTTATGGGAAAAAGCTATAATTTCACAAAGACCTATGGTACAATGCTAAATATAGACAACCTCTTGAAAGAATTTATTTTTTAAAAAATTTTCCACAATCTTTTTTCTTCCTAATGTTTAAAATATTAAGTCTGGTGTGAAGAACAAAAGTTATAATAAAAAAATTAATGGAGAATAAAAATCTGAAATACCTTGGAGTTTTCTAAATTATACTTGAATATACACTTCACTGTGAGTGCTGGCTACTTGTGGTGTGATTTATTCTTAATGAGATTAGTAAGGTATTTTTTTGGTAGGATAAGGTATGCATATGATGTCTTATAACATTAAATATTATGTCCCATTGTTAGAGCAAACAGGAAATTCAAAACAGGATAGTTTGGTTCCTCCCATTATAGTATTTGTAATGTGTTTCACAACTATTATCAGCTTAAAACAGGCTGGGAAATGAGAATCCCTGCTCTGCATTTAATGTAAAATACTACTTGTTTAACCTGATTCTGTCACAGGTCCACAAGAAAATGTAATCTCCACATTGCATTTTTTTGAAATCTAAAAACTATGAATTTAATATCTGGGAAATATGTTTAAGAGACACTTCCAAAAAATTGAGAGTGGAGATTATGGCATCATTTTTTATACTCGAATTTGCCTTATAAACTTCCTCTCTTACATGGCCATCTTCTATGGTAGAGGAATGAAAGTTGTGAGGTGCATCTGACTTTATTTAAATTTATATTTTCTCATTGTTAGTACTGAGCATTGTGGATATACTCATTTTCTTATAAACAGTGCAAATTATTTTCTTCCAAGCAGACACCTATGAATTCTGTTCTGCATCCCTATTATATTTTCTCAGTGTTATCAATAACAGGACCCAACTAACCAAAATGACAGAAATATCAGACATAATATTTTATAATAAATGTTAAAGGCAAGGAAGATGTATTATCTACAAATAGTTTTATATAGATTAATAGATAGATATATGATCATATATAGAATTATATGATTATATATAATATGTAAGTATAATATATGATTATATTTCATAATTATATAATATAAAATACATCATTATATAATAGTATATAATATATTACATAACTAATTATATAAGTAATCACATATGAGCACATATATTATACCATGTTAAATATAATCATTCCTATCTATCTATATCTCAAAGCTTCAAATCATGATCGGCAATATTCTTAAATTCTCAGAAGCTCTTATTACAATATTAAAGCTGTTAAATGAGTCACTGTAGCAGAGTAAGTATTGGTGAGTTGGAATTGATGAGTAAAGAAATGATATAAATAGTTGAGATACACAATATAATTTAAGATGATGAAGCTCACCAAAAATTATTCTGGGGATACAATGCCAAGCATACAAAGAAAATCTCTGTGAAGACAGCAAGTTAATTTTCCAAACAATAACACAGCAAATATAATTTTCGTCCTTTGTGGTGCTAATGGGTATGGTTTAGTGGCTTCATGGATGCCTAATCAAATGATCCAGAGAATTACACAAGACTATTACCTAATCAAAATGCAAAATGCATTGATGTGTGATACAATTAAGCTATAAATTCTTAGTGTATTAATTAAATGGAATTGAAAACAAATGTGATTTTTAAGGTCACGTCCTTCAAAACCTGAGTTGATCCTAAAGTTTAATCTGGCATAGTTGGAATGATTATCTTAGCAGTTAAAATTCTATGATGTTCAAAATGTTGATTATATACCCAATATCTTCTCTTGAATTAAAAGAATAATACAAATTTTTCATCACCCTTAAAAAAGTGTTATCTATTTCCATAATATTAAACCAATTTAGAGTACACATGTTATCAGTTTGTATAAGAGCTCACATTGTATTGCAGCACTTTCATTTTTACTATAATTAGCAATTTCTAGAGTAATGTTATGTAAATTGCACAAACTTTAAATAAATAGAGCTTAAAAAGTTAGCATTCTTAAATGAAAAAAATTCACAAAACAAATAATCCTAAATGTTGTATGTTTTCTTTTACTCCAGTTTTTTATTCACTGAAAAATATTTGTCTATTATATCAGATAAAATAATTCTAAAGGAACTCATCCTTACATACAAACATTTGCATACATTGAAAACATTTTATTCCTGTGAACAGATGAAAAATCATTTCTCTTTCCTCTCTTAGATTATTTGATACTACAAGAACTAGTCTAATTGATATAATACACATTGAAAGATCTCTGAGACAGGTCTCAGGTTCAGACTCAGAGGAAGAAAAGGCCAAAGTAGGATGGAGAATTATGATCATAAATCAAAAAATTGAGGTAAGTGGTTTAGACAACATCTTCCAAATATTCTCCACTTTTACTTTCCTTTTGAACTAACCTTCAGGCATACACTATGTTGTATATGAGTATTTTAGGTAGTATAGTAGTGACCTTTAATTGCAATAGTTATGTATTTTTTTTAATGAGTTAAAAATGTAACTAGAATAACAAATTTGTTACTTCATAAAAGTATTTTTGGAAGAGGCTAAATATTACAAGCATTGATGCCAGCCTGGCTTCAAGAGAACATGTCAAGTAAAAGCACAAGAGATATCTTCTTATGACAACAATTTGGAAAAAGAAATACAAACGATTGGAGTTTGTGATGTACTACACTGAGGAAAACAACACACATATATCAGTAAACACCAGTGATGCTCAACAATGTGGAATGAATGTGTATGTTTTAAAATTAGTGGAGGTAAATGTGAACTTTACATGTATCTAAGAAAGAAGCATACAGAGTATGAAAACAAAACAGCACTGTGTTCTCATGCCTTGATTTACGTTGAATCTTAGCATGTATTGTATTTTAAAATTTCAAATTGTATTAAAGAAAGTGGTAAAGAAAATTTTGAGAACATTGGAATAAAACAATGAAGTTTCATTAATAAGAAATGAAATTAGATCCTAAATTCTAGTCAGCCTTTTACTAGCTAGCTGACTTTGACAAGGATGTTAACCTATAGTTTCCTGAATTGTAAAATTGGGATATTAAAGCCAATTTCATTGGTGGTGACAAAGACATATTTAGATAAAATAAACTGCTTAACACAATTAGTGGCATAAAATATATGCCCACATCATGAAAGTCCCTTATACTTATATGTTTATACTTATATGCCCAGAATACTTATTTCTTGCTAAGTTCTGAGTATATGCCATGTCTTTTCCTTTTTTCATATTCTTATATGTATTTTTAGTTTTGAGCACAAAGACAGACAAGTAGAAAAATAATTGTGTTATTGAATTATATGTAGATTTTTTTACCTCGTCTTCATCTGTTTAAGTTAATATTTTTCAAATTTGTATCTGGAAAAATCAACATTGCAAAGAAGGCAGGATATTAGGATATGACAATGGCAAAAGGACTCTGAAATGGGAGTAGCTTACTAAACATTTTGTTATAGCTGCTAATATTATTCTAAGTAGTACAGACATGGATAACTATTATAAATGCTGCTACAACAAAAATAATAATTAAGAACTCTTAAAAATGTAATATAAGCTTTGGAGTTTGTCACTAGTCAAAGAGAAACTTATAGTAGAGCTAAAAATTTGGAGACAGAATCTCTTCATTTGTAAAAGTATAAGAAATTCCATTGATAACCAAGTAACTTCTGAGACTATAGCTGAATGGTAAAACATTGAGAAATAGAATGTTGAAGCATGTATTTGTTATAATTGTCTGAGTCATTAGGTATTAGAGAAAACAGATAATCTCAGATAAGACTGAATAAACTCACTTGCAAATAACAGAAACTAACAGAATCAACACACTTGGGGCCTCAAATGTTTGAAAAGTCAACTATTTTTAGACTTCAAAAAGTAAGAAATGTGATTCAGCCCACCGAGACCCACACCTGTGGCAAAGATCAGGATTAAGAATGTGGCCTAACTCATCCAAACCTGTTAATTCAGGCAGCCTCAAGCCATCCATTAAGTTAAGAGAAAAACAATTGGAGGAGTTAAGAAATAAAAAATAAATTGGGAAAAAGGAGATCAAATTATCGCTTTTTGCTGATGATATCTCATATCTAGAAAACCCCAAAGAATCCACCAAGCGATTTCTGGAATTGGTGAATAAATTCAGCAAAATCTCAGGTTACGCAATGAATGAACACAAATCAGTAGCATTTCTGACCAACAATAGACAAGCTGAGAGTCAAATCAAAGACAATACCATTCACAATAGCTTCAAAGAAAATAAAGTGCCTGGGAATATACTTACCAAGGAGGAGAAAGATCTCTACAAAGAGAACTGTGAAACACCGAGGAAAGAAATCGTACATGACAGAAACAAATAGAAAAACATACCATGCTTATGGATCAGTATAATCAACATTGTTAAAATGTCTATACTACCCAAAGTGATTTACAGATTCAATGCAATCCTCATCAAAATACCAACATCACAGTTCACAGATCTAGAAAAAATAATTATACATTTCATTTAGAACCAGAAAAGAGCTCGAATAGCCAAAGCCATCTTATGTAAAAAAGAGGAAATCCAGAGGCATCACATTACCAGACTTTAAACTATACCATAAGGATGTAGTAACCAAAACGACATGGTATTGGAACAAAAATAGAGATATAGACCAATGGAACAGAATAGAGAACCCACATATAAAACCAGCCACATAAAGTCAACTGATCTTTGACAAAGCAGACAACATTATACACTGGAGAATGAAGCCCTATTCAATAAATGGTGCTAGGAAAATTGGATAGCCACAGGCAGAAGAATGAAACAGGATCCTTATCTCTCACCACTCACAAAAGTTAATTTAGGTAAATAAAATACTTCAATGTAAGGCATGAAACAATAAGAATTCTAGAAGAAAAAGTCACAAAAACTCTTCTAGATATTGGTCTAAGAAAAGAATTTATGAGTAAGACCCCAATAGCAATTACAACAACAACAAAAATAAATAAATGAAATTTGATTAAATTAAAAAGCTTCTGCTCAGTGAATAACCAACAGAACAAACAGACAACGTACAGTGTGGAAAGAAGTATTTGCAAGCTATATATCCAATAAAGGGCTAATAAACAAAATTTACTAAGAACTCAAGCAAATCAGCAAGAAAAAAATAACACCATTAAAAACTAAACAAAAAGCCTGAACAGAAGCTTTTCAAAAGAAGATAGACAAATGGCCAATAAACATATGAAAATATGTTCCACATCACTAATCATCAGGGAAATGCAAATTAAAATTACAATGAGGTATCACTTTACATCTGTTAGGACAACTTTTATTTAAAGTCCCAAAACAATAGACGCTGGCCTGGATGCAGAGAGAAAGGAATGCTTATACACTGTTGGTAGGCTGAAAATTAGTACAAACTCTCTGGAAAACAGTAGGGAAATTCCTCAAAGAACTAAAAATAGACCTACCATTTTATCCAGAAATCCCACTACTAGGTATATACCAAAAAGAAAAAGAAGTCATTTTATCAAAAGACAGCTGTGTTGAATGTTTATTACAGCACACATCACAACTGCAAAGATGTGGAATCAACTCAAGTGTCCATCAGTTCATGAATGGATTAACAAAATGTTGTAAATGTATACCATGGAGTACTACTCATCATAAAAAGATGAAAAAATGCCTTTTCCAACAATTGGGATGGAACTGAGACCATTATCCTCAGTGCAGTATCTAAAGAATGGAAAGATACCACATGTACTCACTATTAAATTGGAATTAACCTATGAGCACATATATGCACGGAGGCAATTAAAACTCACTGGAAATAAAGTGGGGGGGGGAAGGGTGGGAAGAGCATGCGTGTAAACCTACCTAAGATATACAATGGACACCTTTTGGGTGGTAGGCACATTTATAGCCATGCCTCAAGCATTACAGAAGCAATTCATGTAATCAAAAACATTCGTACTCACTTAAAGTTTTGGAAAAAAAGGAACAGAAATAAAATGATTTCAGAAGTATCCCTGGAAAGGATTTTTGATATGCATATTGGCTGATACAAGTAAAATGACTAGAGATAAATAAATCCCAAACTTATTAAGTTTTTGAGGGAGTTATACTGCCAAATAAATCATTGAGTAAAATGAACCTTTGAATATTTGACTCTTAAAACTATCCTTTTATAGTCACATTAAGTCTCCCAAAGAGTGGTCGTCCCTAGTACCTGCCTTAGATATGTATATGGAGGGTAATGGACAAGGACAACTTATTGGACTACTGAGCCTGGAACATTAAGGAATTCCTCCTAGATAGCAAAATCAAAGGATGCACAGGGAACTTTACCCACTGCCATAAAAGAAAGATCCGTGGGAGGAGTTTGTCATTGCCATGAAACAATGATGCTGTGCTTTATTCTCATTCTGTCTAATAAGAGTGCTTGCTACAATTATGGTTTCCCTGTTTCCCCAATGAGCACTAGGATTATGTGTGTTTGTAGTAGGAAAAGATGGAGGCCAGTAAATTGACTTTTTATTTATAAGGCACCAAATAACATGCAGCTGCATTTAAACCTACAAAGAATTGCATGTAATTCAGATTTCTTGATCTTTTGAGTTGAATAAAGTAACTATTGGTTGCTTGCATGGAGCAAAGTATGAGTGTACTCTGGGTTTGGGAAATACCTTAGAACAGATTTTTGGTGGCCAGAGTGAGAGCCTCCCAGAGATAGCTTGCTGTCCACCAAAGATTTATACTCTTTCTTCTCTAGTTTAGTCTTGCTGGGTTGCACCTTTCCAATCATAGATTACTTTTTCCAATCCTCCTTGTATTTGAGGGACCTAAATGAATAATGCAATCACTTACTAAGAAGAGAAAGCATAGATGAGGAAAGATATTGGTATAGTTTGAGATGGCTATTTAATATCTAGAAAGAAATGGTAATGTCAAATATGCAGTTACAGGTACAGTTTTGGAGTTTTTCCTATTAAAATCATTGTGGTATTGTTATATATTCTGATGCATATTTCTTAGTTTGATTTTAAAGGGACTACTTTATTAAGCAATGCTTGCTTGTTTGCTTTCTCTCTTTTTAGAGTTAGTATCAGAGCTCTATTATTTTAGAAACAATTTTTCCTGAGTAGCAGGTACATTTCCTGAAAGGAAGGAACCATATAGCATAGTGGCTAAAGACAATATGGTCAGGGTATCTGGATTTACATTTCTAGCTGTGTAATAATAACAAAGTTACTTAATCATTGTATTTCCTCCTATGCAAAATGGTATAAACAGTTGTCAACTTCATGTAAGGACTAAATGAGTGAACATATTTAATATGTTAACCACACAAAGTGCTTGAAAGATGGTAAAAATAATATGACATTAATTTTGATAGCTATATTGATATTTTCTTACCGTCTTCTCCAGTTGTGATCAAATTTACTACAAAATTACATTGCACACTTCTGGGACAAATGATTCATGGTTTGAGGATTGATAGTTCAATGTTATAATATTTTTTATACATAATACACTTTCTTTTTAGTAAAACCATTATATAAATTCCTAGCTATATTTTCTGATTTATAAATGATATCTCAAAGCCATAATCTTTTAAAAACAGAATAGATTATTTTTATTAAATACTTTTCCTTGCTAAGAAAGAATAAATACTCTATTTACAACATGCTGTGAAATATTCCTACAGTTTAGGCTGATTAATTTTGATTAAGGAAATAACAAAAAAAGGGAGTCTCTTTTTGTGTGTGCTATTAACTGCCATCAGTCAACAAGCCCCAAGTTCAAACTAAAATCCCGTTGTACAGCTATGTTATGAAGTATTAGCAAGTTTTGATTGTTTATTCTCATTATCTTTTCTAAATGTATAATCTGTAAGAGTCTACCTTAAAACTCAGCATCAACAACAAGCATTTGTTTTATAGTGACAAGTTGAACTAAAGAGTAATTCTCACCTGACCTTTCTTTCTTCTTTACTGTTGTTCTAAGATGTTCATTTCTAATGGTGTAATTCTTTTTTGTACAATACATCAGAGATTATAGGAACATTTTGCATATGTAATCATGCACTACATACTGATGTTTTGGTCAATGATAAACTACATATACTATGGTAGTCCCGTAAAATTATAACAACGGAAAAATTCCTGTTGCCTAGCGATGTCGTAGTCATTCTAATGCTGTAAAGCAGCGCACTACTTCACGTGTTTGTGGCGATGCTGGCATAATCAAAACTACTGTGTTGCCAGTTGTATAAAAGTATAGCACATGCAATTATGTATAGTATACAATACCTTATAATGATAATAAACAACTATGCTACGGGCCTATATATTTACTATAGTATAATTTTTATTATTATTTTAGAATGCACTCTTTCTACTTATTAAAAAATATTAACTGTAAAAACAGCCTTAGGAAGGCCCTTCAGTAAAGCTCTATGAATGTTACTGCCCCTGAAGACCTCCCAGTGGGACAAGACGTGGTGGTAGAAGACAGTGATATTTATGTCCTTGACCCTGTGTGGGTCCAGGCTAGTGTGCACACTTGTGTCTTATTTTTAACAAGAATGTTTTAAAAATAAAAATAATTTAAAAATAGAAAAAAGGCTTATAAAATAATGATATAATGAGAAAATATTTTCATATAGCTGTACAATGTGTTTGTGTTTTGAGCTAAGTGATATTACAAAGAAGTCCAAAAAGTATTTTTTAAAATGTTTATGAGGTAAAATAGTTACAGTAAGCTAAGGTTACTTTATTTTTGAAGAAAGAAACATATTTTCTATAAATTTAGTGTAGCCTAAGTGTACAATGTATATAAAGTCTACAGTAGTGTACACTACTGTCCTAGGACTTCATATTCACTCACCACTTACTCACAGACACACTCAGAGGACTTCCAATACTGCGATCTCTATTTGTGGTAAATGCCCTAAGCAGGTGTACCATGTTTATCTTTTATATCCTATTTTTAGTGTGACTTTTTTATGTTTAAATACGTTTAAATGAGCACAAATGCTTACCATTGTGTTACAATGGTCTATATACTATTCCCTACAGTAATATACTGAACAGGTTTGTAACCTATGAGCAATAGAGTACGTATATAGTAGGCTATACCATCTGGGTTTGTGTACATACACCCTATGATGTTCACGCAATGACAATACTGCTTAAGTGCATTTCTCAGAACATATCCCCATCACTAAGTGAGGTATGACTGTATTTCAAATAGAGTATCACAAGCTATTAGCTCAGAAATTTAATCTTCTTACTACTAGCAGAATGATTAAATGCTTTCATCCAGCAATCTCGTCTGTAAATGTTTCTATGTGGCATATTTCCAACGAAGAGAGATTAAAAAAAATATTTTCAGGTGTTATTTGACTTACCCAGAAATAGTTCTCACCAATATATAAAAATGGCATGATGGCCCATTTAAAATTAGTCCACGTTCCAAACGTGGATTAGAAACGATCCGTGTGTAAATAATGCTCCCAAAGTATGTTTCTAAAGTGTAATAAGTGATGCTATTCACTGGGAACACTTTGATTCTTCTACATTTGGCAAACAGAGGCAGCACATTTTAAATCTGCTTGCTCTTAGTAATAGCAGCCGATGATTTCGAACTTGGCAGAATTTGCTAAAGTCACTCAATAAACAAACTATTGAAAATGATTTTCATGCACATAATAAAAGGGCAGAATTCCAAAGCAAACAAGCAAAAAAATAAATTCCAGGCAGGTTTTAAAGTTCATTAAGAGAAGCAGAACGGATAAAGATGCTATAAAGTACATGCAACGTTAAATATAATCCTACAACTACACTTTCACAGGGTGAGAGTTGGGCAAGGCTGCCTTATTTTTCCAGCCTGCATATTAAACCTCTAGTATATTGGAAACTTTAAAACATAAACTCTTTCCCATTAATTTAATACAAGATTTTAATAGGTACCTTACCTCTTCTAATGGTAAAGTGCCGGTCAAGACTACTTGATTCTTATTAAAATGAAATAAACATAAAACTAGTGTCAATATTTGAGTAAAACACAAACACAAAATAAAAATAACTTTTTAATAATTAAATTACTTCAATTATAAATATGAATATTTCAGATAAACAAGAATATAAAGTGATTGAGCCATTTCAATTAGAAAGATAGATGGGGGACGGGGGAAGAGTCGGGGAGAGAGAATAGTGTCCCTTGGTTAAGAACTTCCAGAAGCACATGGAGCTGCATCCTTGGTAGTGTAATTATAGATGATTACAACTGACATTTTTAGAGCCTTGGGATTAACAGAGCACTTTAATTCACTTTATCTTATTCAATCATTTATTCCTGTATTCACCAGCGTCCAGCATACATTTACTGGGTGCCTAATATATAAATTTGGAGGTGAGATGTAAATAAAGATTTGGTGCTATTAACATACAAATGGTAGCAGAAATTAGAAGATCAGTTGAGTACTTCCCCAAAGAGTACATAATTAGAATAAAAAAATAAACAGTGGATTGACCAAGATAATCTAACAAATGCCAGTATTAAAAATTTGAGAATAGAGATAGAATTACTAAAAAAGAACAAAGATAGAAATGAGTATGGAATTTTAGAAATCAAAGATATTAAGAGTGCAACAGAGAGAAGGGTAATTATAAGATGAGTAAGAGGTTCAGTAAGGTAAAGACTAAATTTTTGGCTTTTGTATTTTTAAGCTGGCTGCTCTTTGTAAAGTAAGAAAGACATGGAGTAATTCATAATTAGGATTATGAATATATAATTCATAATATATATATACCATCAGACCCATCAAATGGGTCGATGATCAGCCTTTGAACAATATATATCACCCACTGAATTTAGCTCATAATTAGTTCAAGAATAGGCATGTGTTCTAATTTTAGTCAATCAGACATCTCCCAAAGTATTTTCAAATAGGAGCGATGAGAAAAGAATTATTGCTACTTTGGTGGTGTGATCAATGTGATGCATTGATTCCAAAAATAGCCAGAAAACATCATCCTTTTCTGCATCCACACTCTGCAATGTGTCTTTTAAATCAGAAAATAAAGATATTTCAACTTAATTTAGCAAATGCAATGTGGAAGAGTTTGGAGCCTAGAACTGATGATGTCTTTTACATTTCTGTATCCTACCTTGGATCCCTGCCTCCTTTAAAATAAACCTGCATAGGCTGCTGTATAATGAAAGAATTTGTAAAAGAGAATCAAGATGTCCCCAGGCAATAGCTAACTAAGTCAACCACCTGAAGGTTGAGAGAGGTTCAGAACTTTTCTAGCTAACCTGAAGTTCATTGAACATGCATAAGGATGACCAGTCTGGAGCAAAAAAGCTAGAAGAACTGCCCAACTAAGCCTAGTAAAAAGTATTGCTGGTTTTCAAAATTCATAAATTAAATAAATCAAGAATTGGAGAACTATGACCTGCAGCCCAATCTACTTTGCTGCCTGATTTTGTAGATAAAGTATTATTAATCACAGCAAACTCATTTGTTAAGGTATTGTCTGTGTCTGCTTTAACTCTGCAATAGAAGTGGTGAGTAGTTGCAGCAAAGACTCTATGGCTTACAAAACCTAAAATATTTATTGTATAATTCTTTCCAAAAAAAGTTTCCCAATCCCTGAAATAAATCATTGTTATTTTATGCCATTAAGTTTTGAAGTTATTTGTTACACAGCAATAATTAGCCGATACAGGAGTGAAAATTAGAAACTCTCAGCAAGCATATGTCCTGGTACAGGCTGAGTATTCCTCATACAAAGTTCTTGGCAGAAGTGTTTCAGATTTTGAATTTTTTTGGATTTTGGAATATTTGCATTATACTAACAGGTTGAGCCTAACTAATCAAAAAACCTCAAATCTGAAATGCTTCAATGAGCATTTCTTTTGAGCTTCATGTTGGCTTAAAAAGGTTTGGGTTTTAGAGCATTTTGGATTTCAGATTTTTGGACTAGGAATACTCAACCTGTACTTGCTATACTAATTGTAGGGTACTTATAAATTATTAAAATACTTTCCATATTAAGCAATTCTAAACTTCTGATTTATTTTGTGCATATGTGTAGTTAAGGCTTTTTTGTTTGAAAGAGTAAAACCTAATTCTAACTTTAGTGAAAACAATAGTAATGGAGGCTTATAAGAGAATTTTGTATATTTCCTAGTAGAAAAATAGGTACAGCCAGACCTCAAACCGGCTAGTCTCAGCTGAAATTTTACTAGGGCTCTGTCTCTATCTCTTTAATTTGCTTATATCAATGTATCAGCTTATTCTTTCTTTTCATGTATGAGAATTACCTCCATATACTGTATTAAAGCCTTGGCTATTTAATTGGGTTGTATGAACTGAATGTTGTGTGAAAGAGAAATTATACAGGCAGGGAGAAGGCTGAAGCTGCATTCACTTACTATGCTTTCTGCCATAATTAAAGTCAACAATGATTTTCAGATTTGGAAGCATTTTATTTCTGGGTAAATGAATTTTTTTGTGAAATTGCATTCTATCTCTTAAAGGTATGCAAAGGGTACAATGGATAAGCAAGTAGTTGAAGATCCAAGCTTACTTTTTTTTCACAGTGTGAAAAAGAGAAAATTCTTCAATCTTTAAAAGCATCATGTATTTCCCCTCAAAAAGTTGGAAATATTTTCCCCCTTTTAAACATGTATTATCAACTATATCGTCATTTTTCTTAAATAAAATAGGATTTGTGTTCAAAGTTAAGCTAACCCTTGATTGAATTTTGAACAAATTTTGGCCTTTCTTATTTTTTGTCTTTATAAGTTTCTCACATAAATTGCCAAATACTTTTATATATTTAAATTGCTTAATGTATTTAAAATTAAACTATTTAAATGTTAACCTACTATATTAATTTTAGTTATTTTATAAAAAGAAAGTAATTATGTTTTATAAAAATGATAGTAAAATGAGTCCTCTTTGACATTAGTTGATGTGTTTATTCTAATCACAGTGATAAATTCCTGACCCATACAAATTTCTTTTCATTTTCTTTTCAACTCCATGAACATTTAGATGATATATTGATTTAGACTTGTTGTTGTAACTGGTATTTAATTATAGCACATACAAGTACATCATAATTTGTTTGTAAATTGAATGTATATATTCTTGTACTACTAAAAAAAGGGTATAAGAAAAGAATTACAACTTGGAATTAACTTCCCATAAACATTTTGAAAATATTTCATATGAAGTGTTGCATTGCACGTGCAATAACTTCCAGTCAAAAACAAAGAATGAGGACATATTTTAATGATAACAATCCATATGTGATAATAGTCATTATTTTATTTATTCACCATGTAAATCATGTTTGATAATCAGATAGATTATTAAATATTTTAGATTAGCTCCGTACTTCTCATCAATCCTATAATACAGGGCCAATAACTAAGAAATCACCTTTATTGTTGGCACTCTTTGCAGCCAGAAGCATAAAATGCAGAATTAGCTTTACTGAAAAAAATTTTATGTAACCTTGAATAAGTCAGGTCATTCAAACTTCTTAAACTTTAAAAGAAAAGCACACTGATAATCTGGAACTTCTCTTCTAGTACCACAATTCTACAGAGAAGGACTAAGCAGATAATTTCCTACATGTTCCACGGGGTCTCACTTGAACATGATGATTGTTAACCTAGCATCCATTCCGTCATATGGTTTGGATGGGATTTATCCCATCCCCAGTTCTTGTATTGGATTCTAAGTCAATAGTAGCATTGACATCTGCACTGTCAACAGAGATTTATTTGGGCAGTTCAAATCTTGGCCAACCAGATGAAATTTCTCTATTCTTCAGGGGTCGCCTATCAGTATAAACTTGATATTTTGTTGAGACATGGAAACTGCCTGGATGATGTGAATACAGACATGAAACCTGAAACAAAAGCAGTCAATTTCCCGTGTTGACACACATGATCTTGAACTAAAATGACAAATAGAGAAGAGCAGAGTTAAGAAAGTCCTAACTAAATAAAACTGGATCCCTGATCAAACCAGGCCAAAAGCCCACCCTATCTCTAACTGACAATCAATCAGTTAGCCAGTAAATTTTATTCATAGTTTACGCCAGTTAGAGATGTCTTTCTTTTACAGTACTAAAAAATGTTCTAAGGGAATTATTCTGACAAATACATGAGAAAAAAGTTTTTAAAACTATAAGCTATAATAAAAGGTTTGTTTATTAAGTAATGGTTGCACAAGTACATCTAGAAAGTCTTAAGAAAATACAGATGACTTGTTAGGAATATTAATCTCCATTGAATAATTATTATATGATTGAAAGCAGTATTATAGATATCTGCTACTGTACTTACAAAATATACTTTAACATACAAATGTGTATCGTAGGATATGCATATGTGGTAGGTGTATATTATACTTGCTGACATTGTGAACATAGAGTATGACACTCCATTTTTCACTTTTAAAAGATGATAAACATTTTATGTACTCATAGAAAATGACAGGGATGAATAATAAAAATGTGTACATAGTTTACTGGTCTTTTACTTATGTTCCCAACAGAGTAAGTTATTGACAATAAAACAATTTTGTTTAAATATTTTATCTTATATTTCTTCAAAGACTTTGTGCCAATAGCTTGACATTCAAAACTACTGCTGACTATAGTTACATGATATTAAAACCACTTTTATAATTGCTTTTAACCAATCTTCCTATATTTTTGATGGCCCATCATATCCTCTGTTTCTTAGGTCTAGAAAATTAATAATTACGTACCATTCTTCATTCTTTTTTTATTTTCATACTTTTTTACTTCCTTCTACATGTATGTTGTGATTTAACTATCCACAAAATGCTATTAGAGAGTTAAGATAATTTTTAACATGCCACTATTTTACATATGGGTAACAACAGGCTTTATGACATGTCAAGTATTCCAAGTTAATGGATGTTAGCTCCAATATTAGAATATGAGTAGATTATTCAAATTGTGCCTCAAATTAGGGTTTCATATATCACAGAAGTATTGTTTGTTTAGTTTGTTCTCCCTTATAACTCATTTCTCCCATTCTTTGTATAATTTCTCATATCAAAAGGCCACAGCAAGCATGGACATCACCTTATATTAGTTCCACTCTTTCATTAAGCTATTTATAGGCCTCTGTTATGTCATAGAATGAAGTCATGAACAAAACCAACAGACTAAACATCTTTCAAACAGCATGATGGGTTTTCAAACAATTGATAAAATTCAGTTTCTATTTATATTTATAAAATACAAAATACACGTATTTAAAACCTCTAGAACAAAACAGTTCTCTATTAAAATAGCCAACTGTTTTTTTAAAAAAATTCTGGAGGGAATTCTTTCGTGACATCTCTTCAAGGACAACCTGTTTCTGTTTCACAAGGGGACATGGATTTACTCTGTACCTTGTTCTTTAATGACTACTTAATTTTTTAAGAATTGTAACACACTTCCATTAAGTTCATGTTGCTTGCAGTTGTCTGTGCAAGGCAAAGGTCCCTAAATCAACAAAGAACTTCCTTTTAAGCCTATAATCAATAGTTGCCAATGATGAATAAACATCGATTATTAACAATGGATGCGGTTTAGGTTGTTTTACTTATGTCTGCTTTTAAAGCACTTATAATGGATTGCTACTGTCAAGTGCCTCCATTAAACAGGGTTCACTCTTGCTGAAAGCTCAGATAATTGTTGACAAGAGACATTTACTAATCCCAGGTTACTCCTCTTAGAGTCAAAAATTTACTCTCTTTAATTTACTAAAAACCTGAATTACAGATGGATTTCTGCTATACTATCTGTAAAATAAAATTATTAGGGTTATTATATATATCTATATATAGATAGATTTCATTGAAATTTTAACAAATCCACTATAAGATTGGAATTTTCTAAAGATTACACATACAAATTTTTCTATAGAACTTTTCCAAACTAAGAGTCAGAAATCTTTATCGGAGTAAGTAAATAAATGACAAAATGAGTTAAAATAAAGTCTTTGCATGAAGCACAGGAAATGGTATGGACGGGTGATCCATTAAATAATTTTTAGAGGGGATTATTTAAAAACCTGGAGGAGATTTTTATGGTTAAACTTTACCAAAGTATAAATGTCATCCGTGAAAAAGAAGAATTTGAGTAGGACTCATATTTCAAAACTAGAGACTCTAGTAGGAGAATAAAAGAGACTTAAATGGTAGGAAATCATTCAACATCATTAGTTTATACAGTACAATGAAAGAAATGAGCCAACAGTGTGAAAACAAAATGAGAAATGAACTACTTATAAATGGATGAATTAGCTTATCTGTGAATGAATGACAAAATAGGTGGATCTATGCTGAGTAAATTATAGGAAGATGGAATTAGTTATTAAAAGTGTATTATCAGTAACTAATAATTATATTACAGTAACTACCTGTTATGTGCTAAGTTCTTGCTAGTTTTCCCTTATATAAAGCATTATCTTTAATTCTTAATAACTTGGTACAAAAACATTATGATAATATTTATTCCATGTGGGAAACTGAGGTTCAAAGATGTTTAGCAACATGCCAAAAACATTACAGCTAGAAAATGAATAAACACAGTTAATCCTGTTGCACCTTATCTAATTTGTGACCTAACATTGGTGTCCTTAATAGCAGACATCGAAGACCAAGAGTATAATTTAAAATACAATGTTTAATACCCCTTATAATTCACACTCTTCTCAATATCTCATCTCTTGTATGTATGGAATCGCCTAGGAGTATATTAATGTATTACATTTAAGATGAGCCTCATTTAACAGCATCAATTTGTGAGTTGGTGTGTAATAGAATATATTTCCTCACTGTCAAATTCTAACTCTTCTCTCTACTAACAGTAGAATTTCTACTAACAGTAATAGCTGAGGTTATAGATTGTCTTTCCTTCACCTAAAACACACTTTCTTCCAAGCTTTTCTATGGCAAATGTTAGGGTCTCTGACATACAGCTGTAGAATTCAAGACCATAGACACTGCTTGCCCTCCTATACTTCCTACTTTACTTTACTCATTCTGAAACCCACTGAGTATACACAAAAACAAGGAATTTCAAAAAGGAGACTTTTGTCCTCCAAGAGAATTTTGTCTAGATTCTGCTAAGCAATTAGAAATCTTAAACTTTCAAGACATTCTTATTTACGCCTTTCCACAATACCTTCTCTGTGCCAAGGTTTTCTGGTTCTAGACACTTTAACATGAGTTGATGGGTTTAATATTTAGATTCTTCTAGACACTTGATAGTTTTATTGAATTATGTAAAGTAACTCCTCCACTTACAACAATTTATTGACATAAATATCACTGAAGTATCTATTCAGGAAACTAAGATTTAAATATAACTGATAAGTAAAAATGAAAGAGACATTTTCACACTGTCAACACAATTTTTAAAAGGATTCAGATTTATGATGATTTAGAAACAATTCAGATAGGATACTCTTTTTATATATTTAAATACTCATAATTTTTTTGGTTCATATTTGTCTGAACAAAAAATGTTGAGTCATCTGAAGATATTTAAATTGAAACTTACCAGCCAAATAAAAGTTTTAATGTCAAGATATTTCTGGCCTCAAAGATCTATGTAAAGTTTAACTTTTGGAATATAGAGAACATAATATTTCCCTTGGATTATTATCGAACCTAGTCCAAACCAGATGTCTTGAGAAGGAGATAAGCTTAAAAATCTGAATTTATTGTCTGTGGAATTCACCCACTTAAGTATCTGTTGGAATAAGAAATACAGCCTAATCAAGATAAAGAATCAGTTAATTTATTTAGGAGAAAACCTTCTTTCAAATGGTTTCACTACAAACATTGTGTATTTCATTGGCCTTTATATATAACACAATTAATCTCTAAACATTACTAAAAAAATGAAACTAAATACCTGATAAAATCATACTGAAGCTATATTTTTCAAACATCTATGTTGGATATTATTTAGTTTGAAGTTTAAATAATTGCTCAATTTCTTCAAGATTAAAGATCTAAAATGTTTGCTTTCTGAAAATAGAGATAAAAGTGCTTCACTATTTACCTTTGGGAATACTAGGCATTTAACTGGAGAGAGCATGTATTAAAAAGACTGAGAGTGTGTTATCTGAACCTTTCCTTTGCGGTCAGATGCTTTTCGCCATAAATTGAAATGGTTCTACAAGACTCATCAATACCATACCATTCTATAAGATCAAACATGATGAGACTCCCATCTATCCATTTCTTAGAATTAAAAGATGTCTAAAACATTTCTTAAATTAATATAAACATTTTAAATGGTTATACCTTAAATGAGAATAGAAACTAGTTCTTTTCTGTGAAGTACATAACATATAAAAATTATGTTATATATGGGAAAGAAAATTAAAACTACCTAACCACACAGTATATCCTATGACATATCAATTATTTAAAATATAAAAAGATAGCTATAATGTATTCTATCTTATTATGCTTTCCCAGAATGAATTCATTAAATTCAAACACTACATTAAGAAGAGGCATAAGAAAACAAACCTGGTATTTGGTACAAAAGACATCATTTGTTATGAAGATAAAAAATGTTTGAGTGAAAAATTTGCAGTCTGTATATTACTAATACTAGTTATTGTTATTTTAACTAATTAATGAAAATGCATGCATCACAGAAAACAAATAGGATTTGTTACTTTCTTTACTAATATATTACAGTGTTGTTACTCCTTTTTGGGCAGCTAGAAAAAACTGCAAAACATTTAAATTGCTTCAAATTATTCTCTGGCTATCTCATTTTATTTTATTTTGCTTTAACTTTTTCACAGTCTGCTGGAGTTCAGGATCTTTTTCTCCATTTCAACTATATTTCTTTGGTTCCTAATACTATGTGGGGTGAAGCCTTAATTCTTGCTAAATAGATAAACATACGAATTAATATCATGAAGTTCTTCCAAGCTTTGCAAGTGTAGCCCAGACAACACAAAATATTTAAAAATGAATCCAGAGCCATTTCTAACAGTAATGAAAGTGGCAAAATGTTCTTGAAAGGAAGGACAGTCTTTTGAAGTTCAAAATATTTGACAATGGCAAAAGTTTAGAGGAAGTAAAAAATAAGGCCTTTTGCACATGATCCTTTAGAAGGAGACGGTGAAACATGGATTCTCTGCATGAGAAATAAACAGTAATGGGAAAGCTTAAGTCTGCTGTAAACAAATTCTTGTAATCTTCCTTCTCCAATGATGTCTTGATTTCTCCTTCATACTAGGTGAAATTTCCCTGGATATATTAATATAGTTCTAAGGTTGACAAGACTCTTCTTGCAGTACTTCAAAAGTGGCATGCCAGTTTCTTCTGATTTCCATGGGCTTCTTATGGGAAATATGGTATCATTGAAATTAATGTTCCCTCATATATTAGGTACTGTTTTGCTCTCAGTGCATTCAAAACCTTTTTTTCTTTGTCATTAGTCTTCAGAAGTTTCACTGTGATGTGTTTTGGTGTGGTTTTCCTTGAGATTATCTACTTAGAATTTGGTCAGCTTCTTGAGTCTGTAGGATTTTGTCTGTAGCCAAATTGTGGAAGTTTTTAGGCCACTATTTATTTAGAAACATTTTCAGCCTCACCCTTTTATCTTCTTTGACTAGGACTCTGATAACACGAAAGTAAGATGTGTAATTATAACCCAACATTTTTCTGAGCTTTTCTTTTACTTTTTAGTCCACCTTCTTACTGCTGTTTAGATTGGATAATTTCTATTTTAATTAATTTCTTAAATTTACTCATTCTTTCCTTTGTACACCGCATTCTGCTGTTAA